TACGGGTAGCTGTGACCCTTATGTTGAGGTTAAGCTTGGAAACTATAAGGGTGTAACCCGTCATTTTGAAAAGAAGTCAAACCCGGAGTGGAATCAGGTGTTTGCTTTCTCGAAGGATCGGCTTCAGGCCTCGATCGTTGAGGTTACAGTGAAAGATAAGGATGTTGTGAAGGATGATTTTATGGGTCGGGTTCTGTTTGACTTGAATGTGATTCCTAAAAGGGTTCCCCCAGATAGTCCTCTGGCCCCACAGTGGTTTAGGTTGGAGGATAGGAAGGGTGATAAGGTTAAAGGAGAGGTCATGTTGGCTGTTTGGATGGGCACTCAAGCTGATGAAGCATTTCCCGAGGCGTGGCTTTCGGATAGTGTAGCAGTTGGTGGTGTGGACAGCCTTTCGAGTATAAGGTCAAAGGTCTACCCCTCACCTAAGCTGTGGTATCTGAGAGTAAACGTGATTGAAGCTCAAGACTTGCAACCAAGCGATAAAAGTAGGTTTCCAGAAGTTTATGTGAAGGCCATTTTGGGAAATGAAGGGCTTACTACACAAGTTTCCACGAGTCGGAGTATCAATCCTATGTGGAATGAGGATCTGATGTTTGTGGCTGTAGAGCCATTCGAGGCACCGTTGATTTTGAGTGTGGAAGACAGGGTTGCTCCCAACAAAACTGAAGTTCTTGGAAGATGTGCAATTCCTTTAAAGTATGTGGACAAGAGGGTGGACAATAAACCTGTCAATACAAGGTGGTATAATCTGGAAAAACTTTTGGTTGAAGGAGAAAAGAAGGAAGGGAAGTTCAACAGCAAGATTCACGCAAGAATTTCTTTGGATGGTGGTTACCATGTTTTGGATGAATCGACTCATTATAGTAGCGATCTTAAACCAACAGCTAAACAATTATGGAAGTCGAGCATTGGGATTCTCGAGTTGGGTGTTTTGAATGCTGAGGGGCTATCACCGATGAAGACAGTAGATGGTCAGGCAACGACAGATGCTTACTGCGTTGCTAAATACGGGCTGAAGTGGGTCAGGACGAGGACAATTATCAACAGTCTTTCCCCCAAATGGAATGAGCAGTACACTTGGGAAGTTTATGATCCTTGCACGGTCTTAACTATTGGTGTATTCGATAATGGAAATTTGCCTGGTGGAGAAGGAAAGGAATCGCGGATAGGAAAGGTTAGGATTCGGCTTTCAACTCTAGAAACAGATCGTGTGTACACACATTCATATCCTCTTCTAGTTTTACAGCCTTCGGGTGTGAAAAAGATGGGTGAAATTCATTTGGCTGTGAGATTTACTTGCTTGTCCTTAATAAATATGATGCACATGTACTCACAACCGCTGTTGCCCAAGATGCACTATCATCTCCCGTTAACTGTGCTTCAGCTTAACAAGTTGCGTCACCAGGCGACTGATATTGTTTGCGCGAAGCTGAGTCGTGCTGAGCCACCTTTGAAGAACGAGGTGGTAGGGTATATGCTGGATCTGGGTGCGCAAGTGTGGAGTGTGAGAAAAAGTAAAGCTAACTTTTTCAGAATTATGGCGGCTTTAAGTGGGTTAATTGCTGTTGGGAAATGGTTCGATCAATTATGCAAATGGAAGAACCCCATCACAACTGTCTTAATTCACATTCTGTTTTTAATATTGGTTTTGTATCCGGAGCTTATTCTACCAACTATTTTCCTTTACTTATTCTTGATTGGAGTTTGGTACTATAGATGGAGGCCTAGACATCCTCCCCACATGGATACTCGCCTCTCTTGTGCTGATAATGCTCATCCAGACGAACTAGACGAGGAATTCGATTCGTTTCCAACTTCTCGTGCCTCAGATATTGTAAAAATGAGGTATGACCGTTTAAGAACCATTGCAGGACGAATTCAGACAGTGGTCGGAGACATGGCAACACAAGGGGAGAGGATGCAGTCTCTGCTGAACTGGCGCGACCCGAGAGCTACAGCTTTGTTTGTGATTTTCTGTTTTGTTGCTGCCATTGTTCTATACGTTACGCCTTTCCAAGTGGTGGCCCTTCTCGCAGGGTTCTATGTGTTAAGACACCCTAGGTTTCGTAAAAAAGTTCCTTCGGTGCCACTTAATTACTTCAGAAGATTACCATCAAAAGCAGACTGCATGCTGTAGTCTTTCACTCCTTGAAGAAGATGCTGAAGAAAATCGAGCTTGTTTACTCTGTTTCACCAAGCTGTAAAATTTGAGTTATTGTACGTTACTTTCAATTTCTAACAACTCAATTTGATGGGGTCTTGATGTTTTAGACCAAAATAAAATGTGATCCTGTGTTGTAATGTTGTTCTAGATTTGTAATTTAGTTGAATAAGATTGTCTGCTTTGGATTCGGACTCGATCTTTCCTTATTGTTTAAGCAATTTGTATTGAAATCCTTCAATTTTGGGGAGTAAAGAGAGAGAGCTATGTAATATTCTTTTTACATTCTGTAGCATACACCTGTAGTTTGGGGACCATCAACTGTTACTTCCCTTGGAGCGAAAGCTACAATATTGAAGTTGGTTCATATGGATGTTTGGGGAACTTCAACTTAATTTAATATATTTAAAAATAACGGGGATCAAACAAGAGCAAAATATATTTAAAAATAACTGGGACCAAACAAGAGCCTATAAAATTTCATTCTTACCACATAAAGTAGACTTTGATCTCTCAATATAACTAATTTTAGACGTTACACTTAATTAAATTTCAAACAACTTTTTTATATGCATGTCACATACCAAGCGTACTCCTCTTCCTAAATGATACGGAAAGGTCGTCAAAATCTAAATATTTGGCCTATATTACTGAAGAATGTACTTTCCTTGGAATTTTCAAATTTTATGTGACATTTATTGATGACTCAAGCGTGAAGGTATGGGTTTATTTCAAGAAAAATAAATCTGATACCTTTGATGCCTTTAAAAGATGAAAGACGATGTTTAAAAATGAAACAGATTTGAAGTGAAGTGTTTATAATCAGATAATGCGGGAGAATATATGAATGATGATTTCAAGAAGTACTATCTTAAAATGGAATCAATATAATGAAGACCATTCCACGGAGATATTTCACAATGCATTATATTTTATTAATTGACAGAAAATTATAGCACAGCTGTTCAGGCTGATGAATCAATCAAGTAGGAGTCGCCTATAAGGAATAAAATGGACTAGTTATTCTCCAATCAAATATAGCAATTGACAGATTTATCAAAAGGAAAAAAAGTCTATGCAAACAAGGGATTTCAACAAAAAGAAGACTAACTACAGTAAATTTTTCTTTCATATGGTAAACTTAACTGCAATTAGAACAGTACTTGGACTAGTGGTAAAAGAAGACTTGCATCTAAAGCAATTGGATGTAAAGACAACATTCTTCATGATGGTTTGAAGGAAGAAATTTTGCATGAAGTAGCCACAAGGTTTTAAAGTACATGGAAAGGAAAAAAAAAAATGGTATGCAAACTTTAAAAGAGTTGCAAGGTCTTAAACAAATCCCGAAACTGTGGTGTGAGAAGTTTGATACTTTTATAGATTGTTAGAATTAGATTGTGATTTGAATTCTAATTAGTATATGATGGGAAACACTGTTGGAGTAATATTGGGAGTGTTGTATACTTGAAGATGTTTTAAAAAAGTCCAAGGTGAATTTGACTCCTATTTTATTTCAAATTTTCCATTATTAGTTTTATCTATTGTATTGAAACTTTACTTTATATTAAACTCTTCATGTATTAATTATCCTAGTATGTTAGAGATTTTTTGGTTACAAATATGTGATGTACTGCATATATTGGAATTGACCAATTGTCCAATTAATTATTAGTCCAAAGAATTCATTTGTAACTTCTTATTATTGATTATAGCGAATTATTTGCCTCTACTCATGGTTTTTCGGATTTGGGTCTCCAAGTAAATCTTATTTTCTTTGTGATCCATTATTTTCGTATTTCGACATTTTCTTGTCTTTAATTATTTGGCCCAATTCACAACGAATTGTTATCAGAGCTATTTCGCTTTCAACAAAGAGGTTTCGGATCTGGTTCGAAATATAATGAATGGTATCAGAGCCAAAGTTTTGGCAGTTCTTAAGAGTGCCAAATTGGTGATTATAGGGAGGTTTGAACAAGGTTGACTCTTTTAGGAATGAAAAGTATAAATTTGAGTTCTACTTTCGGATAAAAAACAAAATTTTTGTTATGGTAGATTTTTTATTTTGATGTTGGAGGAGAAGCAATGTAAGGATCGATTATATGATTGGAAGGTTCAACAATGACTTTGGATGCAACTATAGTTCATCGAACCGATAAGCGGTAGCTCGGGTAGAGTTGATTGTGATTAGGTTGCTCGTGGTGATTTGAGCAATGATATTGAAGAACTTCCCATTAGCTCAGGTGGAGCTATTTGTGATCTTGTTGGTCATGTTGCTTCGGTGACTCGAGCAGGTTTGACAACTAAGGTAGAGTTGGAAGTGTTCGTGGTGATTCAAGCAAGTTTGGTGACTCGGTTGGAGTTGAAAGTGAACGGGATGATTCAAGCAAGATTCACGAGCAAGGTAGTATTTATGGTAATCGAGGCTTAGATTTAGTTCACATTTGTTGAGCATGCCCAGTAGGGGCATGGTATGCTCGGAAGGGGCGTGGTGGAAAATGTGGAGTAATTTATGTAGAGTGTTATACTTGAAGAATTATTTTTTGAGTTTGTTGAAGAGTTAAGTTTTACCCAGTGTAGTGGAATTTGCGTCAAGGTGGAGTTTGTTAGAATTAGATTGAGACTCAAATTCTAATTAGTATTTTATTGTAAATATTGATGGAGAAGTATTGGGAGTTGGTCTTAAAATTTGAAGATGTCTTGAAGGAGTCCAGGGTTAATTTGACTCCTATTTCATCAAAAATTCTCCATTATTTGTTTTATTCATTGTATTGGGACTTCGCCTTATATTAAACTCTTCATAAATTAATTCTCCTAGTATGTCAGGGATTCTTTGGTTATAAATATGTGGTGTACAACACATATTGGAATTAACCAACTATCCAATTAGTTATTGGCTCCAAAGAGATCGTTTTTGTAACTCCTTATTATTAATTATAGTGAATTCAGCCTCTACCGATGGTTTTCTTGAATTTAGGATTCCACATAAATTTTATTTCTTTGTGATTCATTATTTTCATATTGCCTATATTTTCTCGTCTTTAATTATTTGGCTCGATTCTCAATAAATTGGTATTAGAGCTATTCCATTTTCAATAAAGTGGTTTCAGATGTGGTCCGAATTATAACATAAATAGTAATGGATTCATAGGGTGCCAACGAATCATTGTTGTTATGTGAAGAACCATGGTGACTCTTATATTTATCCTCTTCATGGTGACTCCTATATTTATCCTACTGCAATATATTGATGATATGTTGATTGCAAATGCTTGCAGACAAGAAATAGACAAGTTGAAATAATAAGTTATCAAGGAGTTTACAATGAAAGATTTGGGTTTACTAATCCTTGAGATGAGAATTATAAGGACAATGACATCTTGAAATTGTTATGGAAATAGTATGTGAATAAGGTGCAAAGCAGGTTCATGATGGATGATACAAAATCAGTTGTACTCCTTGGCTAGTCACTCTATTCTATCCTATTAGTCAGCCTCTATATGGAAAGAGTAGACCTACATGGTCAAGGTACCTTATGACTATTATTGGAAGTCTTATGTATGCCACGGTGTGTATGAGATCGGGTAAGCATATGCACTAAGAATTGTAAGTCAATGTATTAGCATTTCAGGTAAATGGCATTAGGAGGCTAGAAAGTAGATTCCAAGTATATGAAAGGTACAATAGATTAAACTTTGTGCTTCATAAAACTAGGCTTAGGATTACCGGCTATATAGACCCGGACATGATAACGATCTCGATGGTAGGAAAAAGTACTACTGGATATATACATACTTTAGGTGGTACAACAGTTAGTTTGATGTCTAAGCTATAGAAGATAGTAGTTCTTTCCACTATTGATGTAGACTATGTTGATGTGATCAAAACTAGCCAAGAGATGAAATGTTTGTAGTCTTTATTGGAAGAATTTGTTACAAAATTGGGAAGAGTATGTTAATTTGTGATTTTTAGAGAACTATTCACTTAGCAAAGAATCATGGAAGGACAAAGCATATATATATATATTCACTATCACTTCATCATATTGGTTTTGGAGGATGGAATCTTGACACTTGAGAAGCGTCAAGGGAATTAAAATTTGGCGACAGGTTGAGAAGGACTATTTTTATTGAGAAACTGAAGATGTGTACAACTTCATTTCAATTTCTATTTTCAGGATTGAGGAGTTTTGGCTACTTAAGCCAATAATGTGGATTAGTCTCCAAGTAAAAGATTGTTAAGTTGTAGAGCTTAATTATTATCGTTGTTTGAAGTTCTTACGTGGATTGAACTTCATTGAAAGATCCAGAATGGACAAGAATCCCAATTAAAATATGGTTTATTTATTAAAAAAATGTGGTGTGAATATAATCACCCATCTTCAAATTGATGTCTCACAATAGATTCTAAACCCTAGTTTAGTTTAGCTAAATATCATATGTTAGTAGACTTAAATAAAAATTGATGAATTGTATTGTTATAAAATTGATAGATGTTGCAAGTTCTATGACATGTACGGTTAAAAGTGAAATAGAGGAAAAATGAGTTTTAAAAAATAGGGTCAAATATGGACTAATGACAAATTCATTTGTTAACCTACATTTTAAATTTTTAATCTTCACTTCCAAAAAAACTCTAGAAATCTTCAAATCGATTTGTGTATCACATTTTTACTTAAAGACTCCTTCACGAGCTACATGTGGTGAAAATACATATTTCAATTGATATAATAATTGATGGATTTTTATAGATAAATATGTGCAATTAATTATTTTTCAATTTCTATTTACATCTGTAATTTTTGCTAATATATATTTTAGAAGTAATATTTTATTTAAAAATAAATTAGTGATCATTTGAAATTCTCTCTGTGAGATATGTGTATTCTATAGTTACTGCTTCAGTTCTTGATGTTGAGACTCAAATTAATTCGGATTAATCCACAACTCAAGTTGGATGAATGGAGGATTGATCAACCTATAATTTCACTAGCATTCTTTATTCCCTTTTACAGAATAAGGGTCTATTTGATAGCAAAGGTGGAAAAGACAAATCAATTTCATATAAATTGGAAAAGAAAAAATCATGAAAATCATAAGAATTCAGTTTCCTTGGAATTGGCCAATAACATGCTTTAAGTGTTTGTACTTTGGAATTCGAACTCCATTTCCATTTTCATATCAAACTGTTAAGGTAGAA